TATGATTATTATTCTTATCGATATACACATTTTTTATTTAAACTATTGGTAAAACAAAAACAAACGTTATACGTAATTGGTATTGTACCTCGGGTCTCATACAAGATACCACAACCAATAACCTTGAAACATACCCGGTACAAATCGGGAAGTATAAATCAAGGGATAATCGGATAATCAGGTAGTACCCGGTTAATAGCCGGGTAACCCATTGTTAAATTAAGCTTGCCAATTGAATCTTAAAGGTTGCAAAGCCTCAATAGATTACAATTTTGTAGGTTGCGAATCCATGACCTGTCATGATAGTGACGCAAAGTTTAGTGTTAGCTTCAACCATAAAGATAACTTTGGATGATGTGAAGTAAATGCTATAACATCTCTTACGCCATAATATTGTTATTAAGGTTAGATTCTAATATAAATGATTAATGGACGAAAGAGGAATAACTCTGCAAAACACCGCTAAATTGAAATTTATTGAGCGGCGTTGCAAAAGGGATATCCTTAATAACATGGAGTGTCAAGTTTAAGCATTTTTTTATAAAATTGGATAAAAGTTTTTTTCATCTGACTTATGGATAACAAGCTGAAACATTAATTGCATTCATGCTTACATCAATTAGTACAACGACATTCCTTTTTCTTTTTTTTTGTTTAGGTACATAAAAAACCGCAAATTGAATAATTTATAATAGCAAACAATTTATTATAAGTATAAATAAACAAGCGTGATAAACCACGTTTGTTGACTTTTTTTTTCCTGCTCCTGACATCAAAATTTTTTTTTGATGTATGTATTAATGAAGTTAGCTTTTAGTTATGTTCACGAGGGTATTTTACACACAAGAATCCTTATTAGTAAATATGAACTAATGGCGTGTCTTATCATGTCAAAGGCGTACAGTAGATGAAAAAAGAGTTTTTTTTTTTTTTTCTCGTGCCGAGGTAAATTAATTGCTTTCGGGTTTTTACAACACCATTAATCTATTAATTAATGCAAACAATTAATGCTAATTGAATAAAACTAAAAAAAAAAACTAAACTTTATAGATTATAAAATGCAACTAGAAAATATATACATATATATTTTATCGATTTAATTTTCGAGAAGAAATCTCATGATTTCATGTGAACTAACTTGAAATATTAACGTTAATTGAAGATCGATTCTTGTTCCGTAACACTATATAATTACAAGGAGATACCGGTAATTAAAGAGCTACAAATTTCCCATAAACTTTTTCTCAATACATCCGGGTTTATTAAACCTTGAATGAATTCTTGCGTCAATAAATAACGAGTTGCCAAAATTTACATTCATATAATCAAAAGTAGAAATTTTGCTGAACATCAAATTCAATAGTAGATAATCAAGATATGAATAATTGTTTAAACCTTTCGAACATCATCCTTTTGAGGCAAGTATTGAAGATAATAGCGTTTAGAATGAATAACACGCATTATCATCTGCCTCAAGAATTGTCGGTTCGTGAAGGGCGTAAAATTCGGCGTTTGGTTCTTTATTAATTTTTATATTATAAAAATTTTAAGTGTTATAATAAAAAGATAGTTTAACTTAAGGGTACATGAAAAATTTTTTTCATTCCAGGGAGGCGTGGAACTTGTACCAATGAGAGATCCTGTTATTCATTACATGAATTATAAATTTGGTTAGATTAATTCCAATTAAAAAAATTCACTGATTTTACTGATAGATATAAAAATCTCCAAAAATTCCCTATCGGAACTTCACACTTCGCAAAAAATTTCAAAAAATAAACGAATATTTCGACACTTAATAAGTGCCGAACAGGTAGCCGGTCGCGGCGCTGTTTCCTTTTAATTATGTTCTCGCGTATTTCGGACTTTGTTCTTCGATGTAATCCAGAACTCTGTCCGTGATGAATTTTTTTAATGAACTATCATTTCCGTCTCGCATACCTGTTCCCAAATAGTTTTTTTTTTTCCTTATTGAAAATAAATATAAATATAAACAGATTTAATGAATACGAACGTTCGCCTCTTTGCTTTTGTTGCAAGTCGAACCCAGTCCAGCATGGACACTATCTGTAAGTATTATTAATTATTAAATCTTATGAGAGTAAAGAAATGAATAATAACAGATTTAATAATATATATATTATTTATTATAAAGGTAAATAACTATAAACCCTCGCGATATAACAAGATTAATTTCCTCCGGGGGTCTCTTATCTGGTTATCGTCTAAGTCAAAACGAATTGTGTTTATATCCGTCATAAACAACTAAGACGTCATAGGATAGAGACGATGGTACCTATATTTGGGAACTCCCGGACGAACTTGCATTCTTGCCGAGCGTGAAACCTTAACTGTATCGAAAACCTGTCGTTCACAAAAAGGGAGCTCTACGAATTCAACAATACCTTTTTATGTTGTGAGACGGACACATTAGTAACATTACAGCGATAAAGCGTATGGTTGTTACCTTAAGTTTGGTTTAAATGAATTGGATCTCCCTGTGTGAGGCGGACCCATTACTATTTACCATGCGGGTCTCTATTTTCGGTCAACTTTCGTAGAATCGACGTATTGTTATTCAAAACTAGAGGCTTGCTGGATCAGTTTTAATTTTTCCAATCCGTCAGGCGCGACAATGGTTAGTTAAGATGTCTTTATGACCGTATATCGCATTTGATACATAATCGGATAAATATGGACAGTGTTGTTGACTGGAAGCCACTGGAAGGTCAATGGATGGCCACTATAACTTCACTGGAAGAAAATTAATAGTGCCACTGGAACTTTTACTATTACAAGTTCCCACTGGAAGCAAAAATTAACAACACTGAATATGGATTTCTATACAAAGTCTATTTTTGGTAGAAATGTTCAGCTTGCATTAATGCATCGACGAACATTAATATATAAAAAAAATCTTCTTTTTATTAAAAAAAAAAAGAAATTTTTTTTTAATAAAAGTGTAATTATGTTTGAGTTTAAAAGGCTTTTCATTTTATATAGTATTGACAATATTTTAGAAAAGTCTTTTATTCAACATTCCTCGACTATTCTTTTCGTCGTTTGCTCGACTATTTCATTCTTCAACTGTAATTAATTACTAAATACATTAACGATTAGATATATATCTGTTGTTACATATAATCCAAAAATTAATGATCACAAAGAACCCAATCTATCGAAAAATTTTCCGTTTTATATATACCCTTTAAACCTTTGATTCCTATATATATTTCATTGTTCCAATTTTCAGAACATACATTTTCACATAACTTTTATATATATATACTTCGTATACATATTTGAATCCATATACACAGTTCCTCCTTAACATTTATCATACACCATATTGTGGGGTTGCACCCCTCGTCATCTTTATCATCGATCACCCTATCTCGGCTAGCTTTTTTAAATCGAAAATTTTCCTCGAGAATTACTATTTTGATAGGGGTTCAATAACTCATTAGGACCACCCATCAATACATTTTTTCTTGTTAATACCGTTCATCGTCTTTGCATACATTACCTACCTTTTTCTTTTGTTCATGTTTTTTTTTATTTCATCGCTATCATTTCAATTTGTTTGACTTTCATTTTTTTTTTTTTTTTCTTTTTTTTGCAAACCACTAGTCGAATAATAGTGGTTTTTTTTTCTTTTTTTTTTTCTAAAAACAAAAAGAAAAAAAAGTTCTTTAATGTAAGCGCGTCAATGAGTTCGTTTTTTTTTTATTACACGGCTCTGACGAGAGAAAAAAATTAGCTGTGATAGGTTTCTTTAAAAAAAACTTTATTTTTATACACATCTCGAAATTTTGCAAAACAAAAAAATTATTTTTTTCTAAAAAAATAATAAACTATGTAAAAAATTTTAAAATATTTTTATAAACTTTTAAAAGAAAATTGTTGATTTATATATATAGTTAGACGACCACATCATTTTAATGCTAGCGCTAGTGAGTTCAAGCGATTTATAAAAACTCTACATGCAACTCCCATTTACGTGATATGTTTTGATATTATAGTTTTAACAAGGACCTAGGTCTCAAATAATTTATCCGTGATATCTTGGTTTTAATTAGAGTATTTGACGATCATATAGCAGTATAACCGTTTTCGAAGCATTTCCAGCAGAACATTGAGAGAAATCTCAATAATTATAAGCCAATTGATAAAAGTTCAAAATAATTACTTGAAAGCCTTAAATAAATAGTTTTAAAGAAATATGTATCAATTTTTAATGCTTTGTTATTTTGTTAAATCTGTTATTTTACAGGTATAGCTACCCCGGTGAGACCTAGGTGAGACCATGAAAGATCGACACCAATCAGATGATCTACACTAATTAAAATAATTGTAATAAAACCTTACGTTTGGGTTAGGGTTGTGACCGAAAAGGGCTTATTTTGTACCAGAATTTTACGGCGAATCTTTTTTAGTGCGCAGAAGGCGGTTTCATAGAGAGTCGATTGTTAGAGAGATCTGATTGGTGCATCTACGTCGATCTTCCATGGTCCTACTGGGGTAGCTGTTTGTATACAATCTTTGCAATGTTTTTCAAACACTAAAAGATGTGACGCGTATATTTCGGACACGTGATTCATAGAATGAATGTTTTTTTAATTATAATGAAATTCTTCGTTTTGTTTTTTTTCGCGACTTTTACCAATTGAAATTGTTCTAGTAATAATAGTTTTTTTTGAGTTTGCTTATTCACCAATAATAAGTAATATCGCATCAGATGACGTTTAATCGCATATCTTATTTCTAAAAAAAAATCAATGTTACACGAGGGTTAAAATAAATACTATCATCGTTGGTGAAAATTCTCGTCCCGCCTTTTCACGACATTAGACCTGTTTACTGATCATCAGCGACTTAAAACATTATCACCATTTTACGCGGCTTCACCTTAAAATAAGCCTAATAGTATTAACTTCAGTCCATCAGTTAATGCACTGATAAGTTATCTTTGTCAAAAAGTATTATAAATTATTCCAAAAATGGGACATGACGATGATGCATTTCTTTATCAAATTGATGAAAAAATTCTTTGTTACCATGGACCTATTATATACGAAGCCAAGGTTTTTTATATGCATGATAATATTTTTGTCGATGCTTGTTTGTTTTCAAGTTCTACAAGTTTTTCTTTTAATAGATCATAAAGACCGAATATTTGAAAGAACAGGGTCCATATTATTTAGTACATTATATAGGGTGGAAACAAACGTAGGTTTTATTTATAAATATTCAACTTTACCTTCTTTTTCCTATTATCTGATTTTAAAAAATTTCGATTAGTATTTTGATTGAGATCAAGATCCATCCGTCAGTCAGATTTAAAAAAAATATATTTCTTATTCTGTTTCGTTTTTAAAGCTGGGATGAATGGGTACCTCAATACCGCGTGTTAAAATATAATGAAGAAAATCTAAAAAAGCAACAGCAGATCATGGGTCCCGTGGAAAAGAAGAGTAAACCTGCAATTAAAAAAAAAGCTGGGGTCGATGAAAAAGGCGAAAAAGGAAAAAAAAGGAAAAGGGATCATTCTTTGAATAATGTAGGTTTTATTTTATTTCTTTAACATTTTCTATAAAAGGTTAACTTATTGATGTTTCTATCGAATTTAATCAATTTATTGCTTTGTGGATCTTCTATTTATAAAAGGATGATGGCATTAAAAAGTCAAAGATCATAATTGATTTACCTGAAGCGCTCAGAGCTTTCATGGTCCATGATAGTAATAATATAAAGTCACGAATGGTATGAATTTGTCATTCATGAAACTTGAAATCTTTTATTTTTTTATGCTAATAATAATAATAATAATAATAATAATAATAATAATTCGTTTATATACAATATAGTTTGTACCACTGCCACGAAAACCTACGGTTTCCGATATTATTAACGACTATCGAGCATGGAGGTGTGAGAAATATGGCAATAAAGACAGTTGGTAATAACCCTATAGTAGTTTTCATTGATACTCTTAAATGGCTCTGTTAATAATATTCATAATAAAAATATTATTATTTTTGAACAATAGTCATGCAGAAGAAATTATTATGGGTGTTCATTTTTATTTTAACAGATGTTTGGGTACTCGTCTTTTGTATCAATTGGAGAGACATCAGTACAAAGAGATGCGTGAAAAGTTTAAACATCTGGACAATTCTCAAATTTACGGAGCTGAACACTTGTTAAGATTATTTGGCAAGTGGGATAGTCTTATTTATATTGTCTGACATATTTTAATTAGGAAATAAGATACTAAATTCGTTTTCTTTCATTGTAGTGGCTTTTCCGCAGTTGGTATCAAGTATAAAAGATGTAACTCTTAGTCAGGAGACATTGAATGTGTTGAAGGAATACTTGAATGATTTACTAGTGTATTTTGAAAATTTTCTATTTTATGTTTGTTTACTAATGTTTACGAAGCTCATGATATTAAATAGAATTTACTATATTATTTCTTTTTAGCTTTTTAAATGAACATCGGGACAGGTATTTTATAAATGAATACCAAAAAATATCTAGATCGTGAGTATTTTTTTTCAAGGCTTATTAAGTATTACAGTCAAAGAATGATTCCTAGTGCGAGGAAGTATAAGGCCTATATAGAAAGTTGTATGGTGATTTCTGAGATGATATGGAGGTATGATATATTACCTCATTTTAATTGAGGAATGATTCTTCCAAAAGAATTATTACTTTTTTCATTGCATAATTTGAGTCTCTATAATTGATTTCTTTCGTTAGCTTAAATAAATAATAAAAAAAAATATTAAATAATCCACTAACATTCGTGATGTGATTTTAAAAGATGTTAAATATTTAATATAACAATTATTTAACAATATTTGACCGTTAAAAAAATAATTTTAGATCAAAATGTAGGTAAATTTATTATGATTTTAGATGTTTTGAAATCAATAAACTAGTGATTGTACCTCGTGGAAATTATCTGATGAGTACAAAATTCAAAAATTAACTTGTAATAATTATATCGCATGTGTTTATTAAATAACAAAAGCTATGGTAAATATTTTTATAATGCCCTCTCTAATTTCATAAAACAGTTCGACGTACGTACAGTGCGTGCAATCTCGTATAAACCTCAAGATTTCCGAAATGTGTACTTACTATTATGTGATATTTGAATGTGATTATGAAGAATACTAAGTTGTGTGGTCACACTATATAAAAGTGCGGTTAATCGATGTGCATACTTTATATATCGCAGTAATTTGGTGGATAACAATAATATATGGTTATTGGGCAGATGCAAAGTTTAAACTATTTTAAACTATTTTAAACTTTCGTTTCTGCCCAATAATAAAATTATTGTGCAGATAAATCACAGTACGTAAGCTGCTGGATAATGCTTATTTACTAGCATAACATTTAATAAGGTTGGATGGAGCCTTATGTATGTTCTGAATTTAAAAAAGACCATAAAGTTAATGCTACAACTTATTATCAAAGTAATTTATAGAAACTTCATTACAACTATATGAATAATAGAATGCGTCAAGTTTAACATATTTTCATGAGTTTACATTTATACATATGTAAAAATACATGCTAAATTTACAGATATAATAATTCATAGTTATAAAAACAGAAATCTCTGCCTTTAACCTAAGCTTTATTATATACGTATACTTCAATCTCTGTAATAGATTATAAGTATTATTGAATGATTTATAAATCGTGTGATTACCTAATCAACACGAAGGAAATTGTACACGAAAACAATTCTTTGTATATACTTAATTGGTCTTTACAAGTTCATATACGTCTAGAATATAATCTTTATTATTTGTTGTCATTTTGAATTACATTCTCGTTAATATTTGTCGTTTACGCTGTTATTTTAAGTTATCTTTTCCTTCTAATATCATTTCTTGCAACCTTTTGTTCAGAGATATAAATTCTTTTTTTGCATTTAATAAGATAATTATTAATAGTTTACTTTTACTTATTGATAGTTTTATTTATTGCTATTATTATTTTCTACAAGGGTTATTGGTATCCATTTTTCTAATACTTTAATCAATTTAAACTCTACGCCATCGAACCCACTCCGTCATCGCAATTTTTATCATTAACATCAACGGATCATTCGTCCAAATGCACTGTGTAATTCAAATTGCTTTTCCAATGGTAACCTTCGCATATTTTTGGATGACCTTTTCATCTGCTAAAATATCCGAAGCTTATTTGATTTCCAGGTCAATTTTGGCCTTTTCTGCTGCAAAAGCTCTATATAAACTCATAAAAAGAGATCTCTTAAATTTATTAAGCCATTTCTTTTGTTGTAAGGATAGAATATTGTAGACTTTAACAAGATCAAGCACCTACATCAACTTACCAGTTTTAATTATAATTATATTATCCTAAAGTCATTGTTTATTGGCGCATTCAATACTTATACATTTTCAAAAATTTCTAACCCTCAAGTACGTTCATAGCTTTCTTTTTCTTTTCACACTTCTGCATATTCATCATTTAAACAGCTTAAAAGTATTAAATTAGCAAAAATAGTATATGCTATACCATTTTGATGCTATTAAACCTTGGAATATTTTTTGCTTTATTTGAATTTTGGTCTTTACGTTACTCGTGATTTACCTATTTATTTTCTATTCGAAACAGCTTCATTATTTTTCTTAATGTTACTAAATTTAAAAATTATGCTAAGGCATGATATTCTTGCAAAGTGTATCTGCAACCGTTTTTTCTTCTCCTGATCAAAAATTATTAATTGGAATGTTCTTGCTAAATTACATTAACTAATACTCTAAGTGTTAAAGTAAAAAAGAATACCTCAAAGTTTGATTATGTGTTTGAGACTAAAACTGACTTAAATGGATCAATTTGTATATCTGCATGTAATAGAAGAATGATGTCATATCAATTATTAGTTTTAGTTCAGTGTACTCCAAAGAGTATTATCCATATAGGTCAATACTAAAATAGATGTTTAAAGATTTTGGAATTTTAAAGAAGAAAGATTGATTTTTTATTTAAAAAATAGAATGTATTCAAAAAAGTAAGTAGTTATTTTATAAATAAAATTATAATAAATCTTTCAAAAAAGAGATATGATAGTTTTATTTTAATTAATATTATTTTTGATTATATGAAAGTTTGTAAGACCTAAGTTAGTTATAACTTAATTATAATGATTAGCAAGAAGGCTTGTTAGAATATTAAGAAGATTTGATGGCATTTGTATATATAAGACGGCTTTTTAGAGTTAACAAAATTATAAGCTTTGATTATATGTATCTTATATAACTAGTAAAAATAAATATATATATATATATTTTAAAAGTAAATTTATGCTTTATGTAAAAATTTCAATTAAATCTTTAATAAAGATAAAGGCATGTCCTTATCATAATATTAATATATATATATATATTAACTTTGGTAATTTTGCGGATAATCTTTATTAATATTTTTATAAAAGTTTATATTTTAACTTAAAATTGTAGTTTGATTTTCTTTGATTATTTTGATAAGTATTTAAAAGCAGTTTGTTATATTAGTTAAGAATCATATTTGAATTTAAAAATTACATTAAGCTAGTCTAAAAGGTTAAATAAAAATAATCTTAGTTATTACAAATAAACTTTTCAATAAACTTAACTAAGTTTTTTCTATTTTAAAAAATATATTTTTTTATTACCATTTTCTTTTGATTAATTTTTTATTTTAAAATATAATTTTTTTTAAAAAATAATATTTTTTTATTAGATTTTAACTTTATAATATTTTTTATTTATATATAATGTTTGCTTCTTTATTTTATATATAATATAACTGTTTTGCATCTTTCTTTTATATATTTTTATTTTAAAAATAGTTTTATTTCTTTTATTTTTTAAATTATATTTTAGTCAAACTTGTTTGAAAAATTAAATTATATTTAGTATTTTTTAAATAAAATAATTATTTATTAATAATATAAAGTATATTTTATTTATAAAATATATTCATAAAAATATATTTTATTAATTTTATTATAAAAATTTTTTAAAAAAATATTAATAACATTAAAATTTTAAAAATTTTATTTAAAAAATTAAAAAAATCTATTTAATATTTAAGGCAAATTTGTCTATATATATATATTAATTATAATACTATATATATTAGTTGTAACATTGCATATTAACTAAATAAATATATAGTTTTTTGTTATATACTAGTTGGCTCATATAGAATTTATATACTATCATGTATTAATTTTCTTTTATATAATTATTCATTGTGATACATTTAGAACTGCTTAAATGCAAAAATTTGATTATATATAATTAACCTTGTATCTACAGCAGAGACTATTAATATTATATGTATATTAAAATTGATAAGGAATTATATTTATTGCAATTAAATCTAATATAAATAATATAATTTATGATTAATAACAGATGAAAGTGATCAACAGTAATGAAACAAACTCTCCCTTGTAGATCTATTGACTGAAATTTACAGGAAGCAAAAACATAAAATAACATTAAAACACACAAGCAAGCAATACATAGAGCACTAAGAAAAAAGATAGAAAACATAGAGATACAGCTAACCAACTTAGAAACAAGAAATAAACTAAAATAGCAACAAGCAACAGTAAGGAAACCAATCTTCAGCAAATTCTAATAGGCAAAAGTGGTATACAGAAGTAGAACAAAACAGATTGGATAAACCTATACAAAGCTATTAAAAGAAGGTTTAGCAATAAAAGCTTTCTATCAATACACCAATATAGATACAGTATTCTTCAATAAAGTTCTTAATTAGTTTTAACCTGACTTAAAAAGTTTACAAAATTCTGTTATTATTTTTGGAAAAGTAGAAATCACTCTAGACCCTAAAAACAAATGGTTAGAACATGTGGTTAGCTGATAACAAAACAATAACAAACACAGCATATTACACAAACAACAATATTATCCTAATTAGAAAAAATAGATAAAAGTTTTTATGCGTATTACTAAGCAAATGAAAAAACAACAAACTAAAATAGAAACAGAAGTATAGTGCAGACTAGGTCTTCTAGGTGATATAGAATTAATACAACATATAAGAGGTTTTGGTGATAGAAATAGAAGATATATAGACAGCAGAACACTAGATGAAATCTTATCAAAGAGAATAGATAACCCTAACAATTTAGAGTATATAGTGAAAGATCTTACAATTTACAACCCAAAAAATATCACAATAAGTG